GAGTTCATCACCACCAAACCAGTATTATATGAAATGCTGAAAGGTATTCTTTTTTAAAAAAATATATATTTTATTGATTTTTTACAGAGAGAAAGGGAGAGGGATAGAGAGTTAGAAACATCGATGAAAGAGAGACATCGATCAGCTGCCTCCTGCAAACCCCCTACTGGGGATGTGCCCGCAACCAAGGTACATTCCCTTGTCTGGAATCGAACCTGGGACCCTTCAGTCCACAGGCCGACGCTCTATCCACTGAGCCAAACCGGTTAGGGCTGAAAGGTATTCTTTAAGAAGAGGAAGAAGAAGAAAAAGGTAAAGATAAAAATTATGAACAACAAATACACATCTATCAACAAGTGAATCTAAAAATCAAGTGAATAAAAAATCTGATGAACAGAATAAACTGGTGAATATAATAGAATCAGGGGCATAGAAAGGGAGTGGACTGACAATTCTTGGGGGGAAAGGGGTGTGGGGGTGCGGGAAGAGACTGGACAAAAATCATACACCTATGGATGAGGACAGTGGGGGGTGGGGGGTAAGGGCAGAGGGTGGGGTGGGAACCGGGTGGAGGGGAGCTATGGGGGGAAAAAAGAGGAACAACTGTAATAATCTGAACAATAAAGATTACAAAAAAAATAAAAATAAAAAATAAAAGTAAATAATTAAATCAATAAAACACACACACACACATCATTTGTCGTTCCTTCTTGGGCTCCACACCCAAGTTAGAGTCAGACCACCCCAACTACCTAGGACCCCAAGTACCAGCTTTGATGACTCCCCACTCCAACCCCATGTCCAGTCAGGCATTCCGCCCTGTGGGTTCCACCTCCAACACCTCTCAGAGCCTCGCCTCTCCCTCCATCCCTCATTACCCTTTTGGTTTCTCTCTTGCCCCTCCCACTGCCACCAAGCCCACATGCTCTCTTTCCTCTTCGCACCTCAACCCCAACCCAAGCCTTGCCCAAATCACTTCTGCCCCTCCCCCACCCCCTGGCCCATCCTATTCAACATTGAGGTCTCAGCTAGTGGTCCCCTCTCATAAGAAAGCTTCCTGCCAGGCGGGGTTGCACCCCTCACCCTGCCCTAACACCCCCACCCTGCCCTAACACCCCCGCCCAAAGAAATAGCCAGCCCCAGGCCCCAGGCTCCAGCTCTGTGGGGGAGGGGGGGTGCTCCTGCAACCTTGGGAGCCTGGGGGGAGGGAGGGGACGAAGCCAGGACCTGCCTGAGACCAGAGGTTCCCACCGGTGGGGACAGCTGGGAGGAAGGTCTGGGGCGTCTCTGAGAGGCAGCTTCTGGGCCTCAGCAAAGCTTCCCCCGGACCAGGACGCCTGGGGAGGGGCTGGGCAGGAGGCAGCATAAGAGACCCCATGGGCCCTGGCTGGTTGCTCAGTGGTTAGAGCATAGGCCCTCGACTGAAAGATCATGGGTTCGATTCCAGTTAAGGACACATACCTCGGTTGCAGACTCGATCCCAGTGGGCGGCAACCAATTGATGTGTCTCTCTCACATCAATGTTTCTCTCTCTGTCTCTCTCTCTCCCTTACACACGCTCTAAAAAATATCAAAGGAAAAAATATCTCGGGTGAGGATTAACAAAAAATAAGTACAAATAAATTTTTTTTAAAAAAAAGAGAGACCCCGCCCTAACCAGTTTGGCTCAGTGGATAGAGCGTCCGTCTGTGGACTGAACGGTCCCAGGTTCGATTCCGGTCAAGGGCATGTACCTTGGTTGCGGGCACATCCCCAGTGGGAGGTGTGCAGGAGGCAGCTGATCGATGTTTCTCTCTCATCGATGTTTCTAACTGTCTATCCCTCTTCCTTCCTCTCTCTATAAAAAAAAAATCAATAAAATATATTTTTTTTAAAAAAAGAGAGAGACCCCATGGGCTTGAGTCCAAGGACATCAACAGTGACCATGAGGGACAGAAGTTTTGAGCTGCAGGCCCTCTCCCCACATTCTTTCCAGGAGCAACAGAGGCCTCCCAGGTTGTCATTGAACTCACGGGCCTTCTCCAAACCACTGACCGAATGGCCTGCTCAGGCGGAGGATGGGAGCGTTAGAGTTCATGTAAAATTAACAATGAAAGGTGGCGTTTTCACACCCCCAAGTCTGTTCACACACATCATGCAGTGTTTGCGCTGGTTGCTGAGTATACTGTGGAGCAGCAATCCTGCTGCACATTTTCCCCTCGTGCACAACCAATTCTACCCACTCCGTGTGCCCAACAGCCCCTCCCGCCCGCGAGTCTGCGAGCTTCCACTTCCAACATGCCTCCGTCTGTCTCCAGACTCCCTTTCCCGTCCTCCGGTCAATCTGTTTATCCCTGGGACAAATATCTAAATATACGGGCTTTTCTTAAATTATTTTTTGTCATTACTGTCTAACTTCATTGTATTGACGTCAGAGAATGTGCTCTGTATAATGTCCATTCTTTGAAGTTTTGGGAGTTTTTCTAAGCTGGTCTGCAATCAATATTTTAAAATGGGCCCTAAGTGCTGAGGCCAATATGACTGTGGGACGCAGGCTGCAATCAATGTCCATTAGATCGAGCTGTGTACTCCTGCTGTTCAAATCTATGTCTGGTCCAAATTTTCCAGCTTTCCTATCAATAATAAGAGACGCATTTGAAATAGCCCATGTTGATGGTAGATTTGTGCGTTTCTCTTTCTTCTATCATTTTTTTTAAAGTCGGTTTTATTGAAGTAAATTGACACCTATTAAATTTCACTCATCCCTGCCCCCACATATGGTGGGGCATTTCCCGGAAGTGGTCCCACCCCAAAGCCTGGACCCCAGTGGGATTCCAGGCCACAATTCTGGGGCCATTTCCTGGAACCACCAAACCCATTTCGTGTCACCGTGGCCACATCCTCTCTTGAGTAGCCCTGGGCTTAGACCCCAGGCCCCAGCGAGGGGTGAAAAGGGAGGTCCGGGCAAGGCCCCCCATCACTAGGCTGCCAACCCAACCTAGGTCACCACTCCCCGGAGCTGCCCAAGAGAGGGCCTGCGAGTTTCCATGATCCCTGAGCACCCTAATTCGCATGGGAGCCACCCCAAGACCTGGGGAGCCTTGTACAGGTCAAGGCTGGGCTAAACCAGGGGGACTCGAATGGGGGCTCACATCACCCTGATAGAGGTGGGGGCGCACTCTGCTTGGAGTCAGAGCGGGAAAGACACTTTCTCTACGGGGCATTAGAGCGATTTCCCGGAAGAAGTGATCAAGGGCCAGCAGGTATTTAAGTAGAGCCGAGGATCGGGGAATGGAAGGGTGGGGACATGTGGCAACAGCCCGGAGGCTGCCTTGTGTGGGGGAAGGTTCCTAAAACAGCAGAAGGCCAGCGAGGCTGGAGCAGAGGGCACTCTGGGGGAGGAGGAGGAGGCGGCCAGGCCGAGGGGAGGCAGAACGTACCCCGCGAGGAGCTGGGCCTGTGGTGCTGAGCAGACCTGAGGCTTCGACAGGTTGGCCTCTGAGACTCAGCTGACGCCGTTAATCATAATAGCCAAAGTGCTAACCGTCACCATAGTAACATTTATTGCGCTCTTACTCTGTGCTCAGCCTCTTTATATGGATTATTTCCTTTAACCTTCAAAATCAGTCCTCCTGTTGCCCCTATTTACAGGCGGGGAAACTAAGGCACAAGGAGGTTGCGTGGCTTGTGGCAGAGCTGGCATTTGAGCCGGCCAGTCCGGCTCCAGAGCCACTGACCACCTCGTGAAGGGCTATTTGCATCAAGGAATGAACAGAGGGCATAACAAGAGGGATCCAGCTTTCATTCCTTCCCTGTGCCACTCAAAGTCATTAAAATCTGTCCCATGGCCCAGAGCTGGGCCCGGAGAGCCTATCCCGCCCACAGCTCTCGGGCCAGGTGTGCCCAGAGCACAAGACCCCAAGAGCCAGAGCGGCCGCTGTGTTGGGTAAAGAGGGAAATGGCTGTGGACAGCGCTGACAGCCCTCCTCCTGGGCACTCAGCGGGCGCAGTCCTGGAGGCAGAACCCCTCCCTCTGGTGGGTCCTGTTCCCAGACAGGCGATCCCAGCGTTTCCAGAAGCGGTTCTGGCGCCAATAGCCTCTGAGCGCAGGTCAACAGCGCCCCCTGGTGTGCAGTCTCGGAAAGGCTCCGGCTTCATCAGTCTCCCACTCGGTAGAACAAATAGGTCAAGGGCCTGACCTTGGATTTAGAACCCACACCCTCGCGCCCAGCGAGGGAAATCCAATTCTACCCACTTGTCAAATAGCCGGCCACGGAGGCCCAGCTGGCTCAGGTGTAGGGCAAAGAGGCAACCCCCTTCACCCCTGGGAGCCCCGTGGCCCCGGCCACTGGTCTAAAAGGCCTTGGAGACTTGGGAGCTCTGGAGGGAGGAGGGGCCTCTGGGAAGGGCGGGGCTTCCCGATCTCTGAGGACTGTGGCCATGGAGTTGGGGTCATTATAGTTTGGGGGGATTAAAGGGAAAGAGGCCTTGCGCGTAGGTGGGTGGGTCTCTAAGCCCTGGGCCCTGGGCCAGGATGTGGCCGGAGGGAGGTGGCAGGCCCAGCCGGACAATGCAGTTAACGGGGCCCATGTGACCCCTTCCTCCCCAGCCTTACTCAGGCTTCACAAAGCTCTCAGTCTAGGCAGGACCAGAGCCATCTGCCTCGTGTCAGATGTGGAAACCGAGGGTCTGTGAGAAATGACAGGCCCAACGTCACACAGTAAGACCCTGAGCCAGGCCGCGTACCGTGGCCTCCTGGCTCCCAGGCCAGAGCTCTGTCCATAAGCAGGCACCAGGGCGAAGTTTGCTGCCCCCCATGGGGTTGGACCTGCCCCCGAGTAGAATGCCAAGGGCACGCTCTGGGCATTTCCCTCTGGGCTGGGGAAGCCACGGAGGTGGACAGCCTCCCTAGAGGGCACAGGGCTCTGGTGTCCAGCAGCCGGCCTGCCACCCTCTCTGGCGGAAGCCAGGGCCTCGGATGCAGGCAGCCGGAGCGGCTGGGGTTCCGGCCACAGTGCAGACTAGTGCATCATCTGGGAGGAGCTGAACGCCTCCTTCTCGGCCTCCGCCTCGGCCTCCGCGCGACACCTCTGGGAGCAGAACCACAGGAACAGGAAGAACCCTGCAAGCAAAGGGCTGGTCAGTGAGCGCCTCGCGGGGGCATCATGGCCTCTCCCAGGATCCTCCTTGGTTGGGTGAGTTGGGCCTCCCTGAGGCCCTGCAGTCATTCTCAGAGTTCCTTGCTGCTGGAGGCCAGGAGGGGTGGAGCATGGGAGCGGGAGGACCGGCCACTGCTAGTCCAGAGGGAGCCTTTGTGCAGATTGCGAAGCGGCACCTCCTGCTCTGGGAGGATGTAGCCCCCAACCAGCTCCTCCTGGGGCTGGACGTCAGCCCCTGACTCGCCCTGGACCTGAGGCTTTCCGCAGTGAACACCTACCAGGTGTGCACGCCACCGCCCCCCCCCCCCCCCGCCGCCCCCAGGCCTCCCCCAGGACCCACCGTAGAGAGAGTTGAAGATAGTGAAGAGGAAGAGCTGGGGCAGCAGGAAGATGCCAAAGGAGAAGAAGGCCAGGGCCCAGGTGGTGCCCAGCAGCACCGTGAGGCCCAGCACGGTGACGGTGTCCCTGCAGGCCCTCGAGCCTGGCGCCTCCTCCCGAGCCTTCAGTCTGCGCAGGGTCCTCAGCGCCCAGGCCAGCACCACCAGGTTGAAAAGGGTCGTGAGGCCACCGTAGCCCATGACCAGGACGTGGTGCACCACGGGGCTCTGCACCCAGCATCTGCAGGGGAGGGCGAAGGTCAGGGCGCTGTGGCTGTGGGGCTGGGGAGGCCGGGGGTCTTGGGCCTCGGGACTGCCTCTTGAACCCGGGCCAGTGCCTCAGCTCAGGCCTCCTGTTTCTTGCCTGACTGCACACGGGGTGAAGTCCTGGGTCGGCTTTCCAGCCAGGCCCCCCCGACAGGACCCACCTGCCACCCGGGTCCCTGCCTGCAGCCCCCGTGCCTCCTTCCCAGCCCTTTGTCTCCTCAGGACGCCTTCATGACCTGTGTTGCCTTTGCCCCGGTCAGACACTGTATATCACACACTTTCGAGAGATTAGCCCAGTCAATCCTCATGATGACTCTATCTATGAGGCAGGTCTGGAATCATCCCCATTCTACAGATGAGGAAACTGAGGCTCTGGCTTAGGAACACACACTAGTAAGAGGCAAAGATGGGACTTGAAGCCCTGTGGTCTGAGCCCAGAGCCTGTGCCCCTGACTGTTGGCATGAGAACAGCCAAGTAGTGGAGGTGGTCGCAGCCGCCCTCAGGGCTCCAGGCACCCCCTTCCAGAAGACACAGCCAAGGCCCTGCCTGCAGACACCCTGTTCAGGGTCCTCTGCCAGGGCCAGGGAACCTGCCACAGCCCGGCGCGCACTCACATGGACACGTGCTGGAGGCCCGTGCTGTTTCCCTGGCTGTGGGAGAGAGAGATCGTGTGGCGGCCGTAAGCTGAGCTCTTGATGGCCAGGAGGAGCAGCACCAGGAGGGCTGGGACCCCTGAGGAGGGGGACAGAGGCTCAGCATCTGCCAGGAGACCCCAGGGACGGACTGGTGGTGGGTCCCTGTGGCTGCTGAGACAGAACTCCACTGGGAAAGGGGTGGGTAGAGAAAGAGTCTGTTCCGAGCCCCCAGCCCATCCTGTGGTCCAGCTTCAGAGTAATCAGCCTGTGATCTCAGAGAAGGCTGTTCTCCCAGGTGATGGGGGTGAGGGCTCTGAGGTGGGACAGGGGTGGCAGCAGTGGTGGCCACGCTGGGAGGTGGTGACTGGGAGCTAATGGGAGAGAGGGTCGAGGAACAGGTCATAGAGGGGCTAGGATGGTGCTAGAGACAACAATGACAGTGGTGCCCGAGATCGTGGTGAAGGTGAGGATGAGGATGGTGGCGATGATGGAGGGTGGGGGGAGATGTAGTTAAAATGGTGGTGGAGGTAATGGTGGTGTTGAAGGTAGAGGTGGTGGAGGAAGAGATGGTGGAGGTGATGGAGGTAGAGATGATGGAGGTAAAGGTGGTGGAGGTGATGGTGATGGTGATGGAGATGATGGTGGTGATGGAGGTAGAGGTGGTGGAGGTGATGGTGATGGTGCTGGTGATGGTGGTGTTGGGGGTAGAGGTGGTGGAGGTGATGGTGGTGGAGGTAGAGGTGGTGGAGGTGATGGTGGTGGAGGTAGAGGTGGTGGAGGTGATGGTGGTGGAGGTAGAGGTGGTGGAGGAAGAGGTGTTGGAGGTGGTATTGGTGTTGGAGGTAGAGGTGTTGGAGGTAGAGGTGGTGGAGGTGATGGTGGTGATGGGGGTAGAGGTGTTGGAGGTAGAGGTGGTGGAGGTAGAGGTGGTGGAGGTGGTGGTGGTGTTGGGGGTAGAGGTGGTGGAGGAAGAGGTGGTGGAGG